TTAGTCTCTAAGGTGCCACAAGTCCTCCTGTTCTTCTTTTTGCGGATACAGACTAACACGGCTGCTACTCTGAAACTTTTCAAGAGACCAGATGCTGTCATGTTGAGGTATCCTCTGTTTGCTATGGTTCAGTGAGACACATTGATTAGAGCAGTGGAGTCTGACAGAACAGTTGCCACCTGTAGAGGAGGCAGCATTAAGAATACCCAGCATTAGAAGAACAATACAGAAATAGCATTATTTTAATTGGAAAATGGCCTTCATGATGGGGATGTTTTAACAAGGGGCTCTTGTGACTCTTCCCTAACAAATTATGTTCATCTATGTGTCTGACAATTTTGTTCTTCAGTTTGCCCGGTACTGAAGTCAGGCTTACCGACCTGCAATTGCTGCGATAACCTCTGGAGCCATTTTTAAAAATTGACGTCAAATTAGCTATCCTTCAGTCATTTGGTACAGAAGCTGATTTAAATGATAAGTTACAGACTACAGTTAGTAGTTCTGCAGTTTCACATTTGAATTCCTTCAGAACTCTTGGTGAATACCATCTGGTCCTGGTGATTTATTACTGTTTAGTTTATCAATTTGTTCCAAAACCACCTCTACGGACACCTCAATCTGGGACAGTTCCTCAGATTTGTCACCTAAAAAGAATGGCTCAGATTTGGGAATCTCCCTAACATCCTCAGCTGTGATGACCGATGCAAAGAATTCATTTAGATTCTCCACAATGGCCTTATCATCCTTGAGTGCTCCTTTAGCATCTCGATCATCCAGTGACCCCACTGGATGTTTAGCAGGCTTCCTGCTTCTGATGTACTTACATTTTTTTTTTGCTATTACTTTTTGAGTCTTTGGCTAGCAGTTCTTCAAATCCTTTTTGGCCTTCCTAATGATATTTTTAGACCTAATTTGCTAGAGTTTATGCTTCTTTCTACTTTCCTCACTAGGATTTAACTTCCACTTTTGAAAAGATTCCTTTTTGCCTCTCACTGCTTTTACTTTGTTGTTTAGCCATTGTGGAACTTTTTTGGTTCTCTTACTATGTTTTTTAATTTAGGGTATACATTTAAGTTGAGCCTCTGTTATGGTGTCTTTAAAAAGTTTCCATGCAGCTTGCAGGGATATCACTTTTTGTGCTGTACCTTCTAATTTCTGTTTAACTAACCTCGTGTTTTTGTGTAGTTCCCCTTTCTGAAACTAAATGCTACAGAGTTGGGCTGCTATGGTATTTTCCATTTTATTAATTTTTTTTATTTTAATAGTCTCTGTAATTTCTTTGAGCATTTCACAGTCACTATCACCATTCTGGTCAGGTGGTCAGTAATATATCCCTTCTGCTATATTTTTATTATTCCAGTATGGAATTACTATCCATAGGGATTCTATGGTACAATTTGATTCATTTAAGATTTTTACTTAATTTGATTCTATGCTTTCTTTCAAATATAGTGCCACTCCCCCACCAGCACGACCTGTTCTGTCCTTCCAATATATTTTGTACCCTGTATTATTATGTCCCATTGATTATCCTCATTCCACCAAGTTTCTGAGATGCCTATTATATCAATATCTTCATTTAATACGAGGCACTCTAGTTCACCCATCTTATTATTATTTCCTTGAGAGTTTCACTTAACCTTAGACCCTTTGTTTCTGGAGGATCCATGTAGGTGCATGTAATGACATTCTTCAGTCCTTTTATTGTTGCCTGTGACAAAGTTTCAAAGCATACTTCTCTTGCTACTGCAATAACAAAGCACGCAAGGGGGCAGATCCTCAGCTGCTCTATATATTTTAATAGGCCTATGACAGTTTACATGAGTAGAGGATCAGTCCCTAGGTGTAGTGGTGGCATAAATTATTCGTAATTTTTTGTTTCCTCTGCAGTAAATTTTACAAACATAACATTGTACAGTTAGAATGTGAAAAGAAAAATAGCAATTAGACTTTGAATAAAAGAGGCTTGCAAAATAAGAAAAGAAGAAACCTCACAGGGATTTGCAGAATAAAATAGCAGAATGATTGATCTGAGAGGCTTTGGAATTAGCTTTGCTGCTCCAGCCTGCATCCAACATCTGTAATTCTTTAAAACTAAACAACATAACTACTACCATTATCAGATTTTCAGTCTTTTAAGTTATTTTACTCAATTTTTAAATGTTAAATCATTTTGCATAATTTTTATGTGGCTATTTACAGAAATGTACAATATTCGGTTGGATAAATTACTATATATTGTATGCAGAAGTGAGAAATATCCAGCTCTATATTAAGCATTGTATAGTATATAAACCAGGGGTTCTCAAACTGGGGGTTGGGTCCCCTCAAGGGGTCGCGGGGTTATTACATGGGGGGTTGCGAGCTGTCAGCCTTTGCATCCAGCATTTATAATGGTGTTAAATATATAAAAAAGTGTTTTTAATTTATAAGGGGGGTTGCATTGAGAGGCTTGCTATGTGAAAGGGGTCACCAGTACAAAAGTTTGAGAAATAATGATATAAATAATTATGAAAAAAAATTAAACTCTTCATATTCAAATTGTCTTTTAATGATAAAACTAGTAGCTAGCTCCTTTGTTCAGAGCATAATTGGAATTTTGATTTGGGATGTTTGGTAAGGACCCTGGAGTTAATGTGTAAGAGGCTTCAAATGGTTTCTGAAATATCCGTATCTTCTAGTTTGCCTTTGGTTCAACAGTGGGTTTTCATCTTAAAAAGATAATTCAATATGTCAAATGGACATCATTGCATTATAAGATCCTTCAGGACCTATTAAGCATAGTGACAGTTCTAATTAGTGTTTGAAAACTACATTTCCCTACTAACTGATGTTGTTTATAGAGGCTGCTTGGATTCTCCCCTTCCCCCTTTTTGAAAACTTGGCAGGCTGAGTCTTTAGTTTCTAAGCAATTGCTTCCTTTGTATTGAGGATAAATTTATCAATATTTGAAAGTCAATTTTCTAAATGCTACAAGAACTAAATTAATTGATAATATATATTTACACAGAATACATACTAGGAATT